GTAGTACGTGGTGAGCTACAGGTTGTACGTGGTGGGCTACAGGTGGTGCGTGGAGGGGTACAGGTGGTGCGTTGTGGGCCACAGGCGGTGCTTGGTGAACCACAGATGGTGCGTGGTGAGCCCCAGGTGGTGCATAGTGAGCGCAGGTGGTGTGTGATGAGCCACAGATGATGCGTGGTGAGCTACAGGTGGTGGGTTACAGGTGATACGTGGTGAGCCACAGGTGGTGTCTGGCGAGCCACAGGTGGTGCGTGGTGAGCTACAGGTGGTGCGTGGTGAGCAACAAGTGGTGCGTGGTGAGTCACAGGTGGTGTAGGATGAGCCATAGGAGGTGCATGGTGAGCTACAGATGATGCTTGCACAATCACAGTTGTGGAGCGTGCACACAGTGGCGGAGCGTGCACAATCACAGCTGTGGAGCGTGTACAATCACAGTTGTTCGGCGTGCACAATCGCAGTGGTGGAGCGTGCACAATGAGTCTTGGAACGTGTACAATCACACTGGCGGCACGTGGTAAACCACAGTAGTGGAAAGTGCACAATCACAGTGATGGAGCGTGCACAATCATACTGGTGAGACGGTAAACCTCACTGGTGGAGCGTGCATAATCACAGTGGTGGGGCGTGCACAATCACAGTGCTGGAACCTGAACACTGTGGTGGGGCTTCCACAGTCACAGTGGTGGGGCGTGAGCAGTTAAAGTGGTGGGGCGTGCACACAGTGGTGGAGCGTGCACAATCGCAACAGTAGTGGAGCGTGGACATAGTGGTGGAGCGTGCACACAGTGGAGGAGCTTCCAAAATCACAGTGGTGGAGCGTGCACAGTTATGGAACGTGCACACAGTGGTGGAGTGTATACGTGGAGAGGGTTTCGGGGGTCAACGCCCCCGCAGCGCGGTCTGTGACTAAGCTTCTCGATGGATCAGAGCCTGATCAACCAGGCTATTACTGCTGGCCCCACGCAAACCGACGTACAAGCCACAGCTCGGTTGGTCAGGTACTGACTAGGTGCCTGTCCAGTGCCCTCTCGAAAACCGCCAGGGGTTTATTGGTAATTCACCTTATGCTGGGAGGCAGTTGAACGGTCTTGGGCCCCTGACACTTATTGTTTTGTCTCTTAGCATACTCGTGGGGCCCCTGCTTTTCATTGGGGGGATGTTGCATCTCCATCCGAGTCTCTGGCTTTCGTAGGGAGTGATTTTCGTGTGCAAATTTGGGACTAGTCCCTCTAGGATTTTCCAAGTGTATATTATCATGTATCTTTCTCGGCCGCGTTCCAGGGAATACAAATCACTGGACTTCAACAATTTCCAGTACTTTAGGTAATTTAGAGGCTTTATCGTACATATACGTGCCGTGAAAGTTCTCTGTACATTTCCAGGTCTGCAATTTAGCCTGGCTTGAAAGGGGCAGTTAGTGAACAGCAATATCCAACTTATGAAGAACAAGCTTTTTGAAGCGAATCATCATGGACTTGGCGTCCCTAGTTTTGAAGGTTTTCATTATCCATCTTATTTTCCTAGCAGATATGGTAGATTCATTGTTGTGATCTTTAAAAGTGAGATCCTCTGACATTATAACTCCCAGGTCCTTCACATTAGCTTTTCGATCTATTGTGTGGTTGAAATTTGCTTTATACTCCGATGCAGTTTTAATTTCCTCGAGTTTTCCATATCGGAGAAACTGAAATTTCTCTTCATTGAACTTTATATTGTTTTCTGCTGCCCATTTCAAGATATGGTTGATGTCCGCTTGGAGACTCACAGTGTCTTCAGTGGATGACACTGTCATGCAGATTCGAGTTTCATCTGCAAACAAAGACACGGTGCCGTGGCTGACATCTCTGTCTATGTCAGATATGAGGATGAGGAACATGATGGGAGCGAGTACTGTGTTTTGTGGAACAGAGCTTTTCACTATAGCTGCCTCAGACTTTCCTCTGTTTACTATTACTCTTTGTGTTCATTTTGTTAGGAAGTTATAGATCTATTTACCAACTTTTCTTGTTATTCCTTAATCACGCATTTTGTACGCTGTGTCACCTTGGTCACACTTGTCGAAGGCTTTCGCAAAGTCTATGTACACTACATCTGCATTTTGTTTGCCCTCTGGAGCATCCAAGACCTTGTCATAGTGGTCCAGTAGTTGGGAGAGGCAGGAGCGAACTGCTCTAAACCCATGCCGCCCTGGATTGTGTAACTGATGGGTATCTAAGTGGGTGGCGATCTTGCTTCTTAGAACTTCGTGGACTGCGGCTAAGTCTGTTGTTTTTAGTGACTGTGGGATGACCTCCCTGTGTCCATGCTTTCTCTCCATAGAATGCTAAAGGCACGTGAAAGGGGCTTCTTGCAGTTCTTGATGAATACGTAGTTCCATGAGTCTGGGCCTGGGGCAGAGTGCATGGGCATGCCATTTATTGCTTTTTCGAAGTCATGTGGTGTTAGGATAATATCAGAGATTTTTAAACTTACCAAATTTTGAGACTCGGTCATAAAAAAAATAATTTAGATTGGCGATTCTTACTCTGGTTAACGTCTCACTAAACGCTGAGTCACATCAGGACTTTAGTATCACAGTGGTGAAGATGAACACAGTGGTGGTGCGTGCACAATCACAGTGGTGGAGCGTGCACACAGTGGTGGTGCGTAGTAAGCCACAGTATTACGATGCAGTAAACCACCGAGGGGGATAAGCCACAGTGGTGGGGAGTAAACCAGTAGTGGGGAGTAAACCAGTGGTGGAGAGTAAACCAGTGGTAAGGAGTAAACCAATGGTGGGGAGTAAACCAGTGGTGGGGAGTAAACAAGTGGTGGGGAGTAAACCACAGTGGTGGGGGTAAATCACAGTAGAACGGAGGAAACCGGTGGGAATAAATCAGTGGCGGGAGTAAACCAGTGGTGGGGAGTAAATCACGGTAGTACGGAGTAAACCAATGCTGGGGAATGGTAAACCACAGTCGTGAGGAATGGGAAACCACAGTGGTGGGAAATGGTAAAAGCACAGTGGCGGGGAAAGGTAAACCACAGTGGTAGGGAAGAGTAAACCACTGTCATCGGGAATTGTAAAACACAGTGGTGGGGAATAGTAAACCACAGTGGTAAGGAATAGTAAACCACAGTGGTAGGGAACAGTAAACCTCAGTGGTGGGGAATGGTAAAATACAGTGGTGGAGCGTGATGAACCAGTGGTACAGTGTATTAAAACGGTGTTATAGGGTTGTAAACTACAGTAAACACAGTGTTAACTTGTGATAAACCACAGTGGGAGGTAAACCACTTTTAGTATAGCGATAGTTCAGTGGCCATCCACACTCACATCTTGTCAGGAATGGTCCGACCATCGCCTATCAGTAACCAAGAATAATCATAACTCATAAAGTTAGCGTTTAGAAACCTTAATATTTTAGAGAATTTAGTCGTTAAGTCAAGAAACGGCTTTGGAAACCGACAAGTTGAAGATTGAGACACTTATGCAACATATGGGAATCGTTATTTAGGAAACCTTTCCTAAATAAAGATTCCCATATGTTGCATAAGTGTCTCAATCTTCAACTTGTCGGTTTTCAAAACCATTTATCACAACTGTCAGACACTGCATCATCATGGGAACTTGATATCAAGTCATGAAACACCTAAGTTAACGTATTAGAGGGCTAAGAGGCACGTAAGTTCCCCGTCTTGTAATAACATGTTCATTTTTCCACTATAATCTACCTTGTCCATAATTACTGTCACAATTTTCTTTGTCTGTTTTGTAAGGTGAAGTCCAGGATCTTTCCTTAATTCATGGTATAACTTAACAAATCTCTGAGGACAATTGTGTTGGGAAGGTGTGAGCACAGCTCTGACCTCTCAAACACAATTGTCCTCAAAGATTTAAGTTATACCATTGTGTTTGAAAGGTCTGAGCTGTGCTCACACCTTCCCAACACAATTGTCCTCAGAGATTTGTTAAGTTATACCATAAATTAAGGAAAGATCCTGGACTTCACCTTACAAAACAGACAAAGAAAATTGTGACAGTAATTATGGACAAGGTAGATTATAGTGGAAAAATGAACATGTTATTAGAAGACGGGGAACTTTACACCATCTCTAATATTGTAATAAAAAATAAAAGTATCATACAAGGAGGTGCAATGTCTCCATTTTCTTTAAGTCTTACGTCTTCTGTATAGAGGAGGAGGGGAGGGTGATGCTGTTACCTTAAAAACTGCTTGTATATGCTTATTTACTTCCTATTTAGAGTTCCTTATCGTACAAAGGGGAGTTATATCCTGTTAAAGCTATCATGCACACTTAATGTGTTTTCTTGTTTTTTGCATGTTGTATACAAGTGTGGTACGTAGGAACACAGGCGCATGCTACACCCAGTGTATACCTGCGGAGTATACCTGCGCTTGGTGCACTGACGCATGGTAGTAGCATGCATCGCATATGTTTGAGTTATTCCTGAATGACACACACACACACACACACACACACAGTCACAACAAACACACACACAAAACCACAACAAACACGCACAATCACACACACACACACACACACACACACACACACACACACACACACACACACACACACATGCATGACTTACGTGCACACCCGCAGTGTGCACATGATGGTAGGTTGCCTGCTCCTCACAGTGAAAATTTTTATTCACATTTCTTTGTTTTTGTTACTTTGTCCTGTGTCACAGTACAGTTTAAATTGACAACATATTCAACAGATCAAAAAAAGAGTATTTTTTTCATTTATAACGCATATCTATAAAGCTTTATCTCATCAACGAGATTATTTCTAAGTTATTCAAAATTAGTAACGTAAATAATATTAATCACTTAGTGTATCAGATTCTTAAAATTTCAACTTTTATATCTATCAAAGTTGCTCTAAAAAATATTTGTCAAGTATAAATTAGGTTAGTCATAACACTCCCTATTTTCTCCCTATTCAACGCCAGTTGGCCTCTGCTTAACGCTATTTCCACCCTTCAGGTTACCGGTACTTTACAACAAATCCAACAGACGCAGCAGACTCTCACCACAGCAACACAAGCGTCAAATGCTACACTAGTCAATAAGCAGTACAACAGTCCTATAGCACTCTACTCCCAGGAGAACGTTCAGGAGGCGATGAGGACTCAACCTTCCCCAGCCCACACCCCGTCCATCAATCCGTGAGTATCAACACACCTGACCGACACCAAGCAATCCTCTCTCCCACAGGGCTTGTAGTGGTTAGAACAGTGTTATCACTCTATCACTCTTATTTGAATGTATGCTTTGCTAGCCAAACACTCTTCGGGTAGTGTTTGCCAGCCAGTATTGTGGTGTTGGTAGAGAACGGGACTGCGAGACCAGGTGACGGGTAGGTGGGTGTGTGACTAGGTTGGAATGTAGATCTGAGAACTGCACGGAATGATGTTGACTGTCAGTTTTGTCTCTGTATTAATTGAATCGCAAAGCTCAAAGAATGTAAGGATTTAAGAACAAATGAAAGTACAGCCATACCTGCATATTACTCAGCACTACGTATAAGCTTACGTAAATTTCTGCTCGAGCGAAATTAATGTTGGCAATTAATCTTCCCACAATAATAAGCTAAAATGTCATGATATAGCTTTACATGCTTGAAGATTAAAAATATATTCTACTAGAGCTATTTGAAACGCTGGAGCTTCAGTCTGTCTGCAAGAGGAAGTGTGAGGCATGATCAATTCAACATCAATTTTAAGATAATCAACTTTACATTGCTTGCAATACATTTGTTTTTCAGTATTTCACACGTGTATATTAAAGTGACAAGAGAGAGTCCCGTGATATAGAATATTAATGGTAAAAACCCGACAAGAAGATGAATAAGACACACGTGCACATTTAGGAACCTTCATCGAGGACATGTCTCTCTAATCAGTGGGTTTTACTGCAGACGCAGAAGACACGAGAAAGTACTTGAGGCGATCAGTCCCTGAGCCCAGATGAATCAGTTGGAGACAGTGCAAGACGTTGAGAATTAGTTAAAGGTGATCAGCCTCTCACCCTAGAGAGGAGGTACTCCATCCATCCAAAGTGATCACCTGATATTAATTCTCCACGTCTTCCACTGTCTTCAGGTAATTCGTTCGAGGCCCAGGGACTGATCACCTGGAACTACTACCTCATATCTTCTACAGTTCATGTTATTCCCCGTATCTGACTGATACAGCCACTGGTTAACGAAACGTTTCCGCAGTAAAGATTCACGAGTATTGCACAGGTGTCTTATTCAACCATAAGAGTACTCTGCGTGATTGTTTATGGCGGAACTCCGTAGCTGTCAGACGCAGGAACACTCTCCTCAGGTTTGAAATTACTTCTGTTTACGAGCTGGAGACAAATGTTGCCCGCAAAACAGTCACGTTTATCTTTGTATTAATACTGGTATAATTACTGACAATACGTTAGGTAAAAGGACACAATTGCAACTAATGTGACATTTTATTGCGGCAACGTTTCGCTCTCCAGGAGCTTTGTCAAGCCGTAGCGGCTTGATAAAGCTCCTGGAGAGCGAAACGTTGACACAATAAATGTCACATCAGCTGCACTTGTGTCCTTTTACCTAACACGTTTATCTTTGATAAGCTTTTGAAGCTGATCGTATTTTTTTTTAGTTTCACAAAGAGTTTTCGGAAACAAAGTTTCGGTAGATTTGTTTTTAACCTCTTCTATAATCTTTTTTTTTTTTTGCTGTTAAGCCTTAATACAAAATAAATTAAATATCATTTACATATTCGTATGAAAGTCCCTTTTTTTTCCTGGACCACAATGGTAATAGCAGGATGACTTTTAGACTTTCTCTCTTCCAATGGATTTTGTTTGTGTTGGCGGTAGTGTAGTAGTGGGTAAGTCACCACTGCCGCTGCCTGTAATTCAGTACGGCCTCACCAGCCTACCCTGCACGATGTCTCTTAGTTGAGCCCCCTTTTGATTTTACAGTTTATAGTTTTATTTTTATTTTTTCTTAATCTCTTCAATGTCTGTCCTCTCTTTTTGTTCATATATTTTTTTTAATTTAAGCTTATTTTTTTTTTTTTGCTACGCCTAATGCTAAGAATGTACTGGGCAGCAGCTTTATTAACAATATGTTTAAAGTAGGAATTAACAGCTAAGCTAATCTTGGCCTCGCTGCCATCTGAAATTCTCAGGGCTGCTTCCTCCGCCGCTGCTGATGCCGCCAAGGCCATTAGAAAAGTGAGGCAAGTGGACTAAATTTTCCCGTGCACTGAATGATCAGGAATGACTATAGTAGGCGTAGTATATTCTAACCTAACCGTGAGAAGATCTGTTTCCAGGGAGTCAAGAGAAGAGCGAGTGCTTGTATCTCTTCCTGCTTAATGGACTCGGTGTTCCAGCGTAGTTATTGCAGTCGTAATGTACTGTATACTGATGCAAAGATTTTGAGCTTTTCCAGCAGACTGACTCAAGTCCTTTACTGTGCAATACAGGTTTCAGACGATATATAAAGTTTAAATCTGCTTCGTTTGATCACAATAAAGGATATGTAATGAAGTCCTTGTCGTCACTAGTGATACAAGAGTCAAAAAATGATGCTCTTATGAAGGTGACCGCTGGAAGGCTTAATATCTTGTTATGTGCTGTTGAGAATGTTAAGGTGGATGGCTTGCATACTCACCATCGTGTAGAGCCTTGTTCGTGTATTAATCCTGCTGCTTCCACCTCCACTAAATTTGTTATTCCCTGTCGTGTGTCATCCTACAATATACTGTTTTATGTTGTCTGAAGTGAGGCTATATAGGAGTAAAATACTGGGAATATAACAGCTCCCTTTTATTGACATTATGGAAGCTGCCACCCATCCATACATTCAACACAAGTTATTATAAGGGATGGTGGAATTACACTGATCGCGTCATATAGATCCAGTAATCTGTTATGATTCTTTATGCATAAGCATTTTTAAATAGCCTTATCATGCACGTATTTGTGCCTTATCTTCATCCCTGCTGTGGAACCCATCAAGTATAACTCACTGTGCCCAGCTGTAATGGAAATTTCGTGATGTTTATAACAAGAAGGCACCAACACTGATAATTCCTATACATCCTCTTACCTGGATAGTTATAGATCCATGGGAAGGTATACTGCGTGCTTGATATCACTCAGTCTTACCCTCTGTGTGCTGTTAAGCCCTTAAAAACTGGTGTCTGTTAACCTTTTTAATATGTTGTGGCAGGTTACAGTGTTCCTCCAGTCTGTGAATATCCTTTTCACCATCCCAGAGACATGTCAGTCTCCCTTTAATTTAAAAATAGTTCGTGTGTATTTTTTACAATACATGTGTGTCCTGTACTAGTGATTTGAATTACTAGCGGGTGTTTGATCCCATTGCTAACGAAGGTGCTCTTTCATATACGGTTTGAATCGTGTTAGAGTTTCGACTGCTGTTTCAAAAATCAAGTTGGGTGGGACCACTTAGTATTAGACTTTTTAAATCTGAATAGATATTGATGAATTTCTTACAGGTACTAAATAATATTAAATATTGTTCTAAATTACGGTAAGAAGTGTTGACGGGGAACTAAGAAGTATTGACGGGGAACTAACAAGTGTTGACCGGGAACTAAGAAGTGTTGACGGGGAACTAAGAAGTGTTGACGGAGAACTAAGAAGTATTGACGGGGAACTAACAAGTGTTGACGGGGAACTAAGAAGTGTTGACGGGGAACTAAGAAGTGTTGACGGGGAACTAACAAGTGTTGACGTGGAACTAAGAAGTATTGATGGGGAACTAAGAAGTGTTGACGGGGAACTAAGAAGTGTTGACGGGGAACTAACAAGTGTTGACGGGGAACTAAGAAGTGTTGACGGGGAACTAAGAAGTGTTGACGGGGAACTAACAAGTGTTGACGGGGAACTAAGAAGTGTTGACGGGGAACTAAGAAGTATTGACGGGGAACTAACAAGTGTTGACGGGGAACTAAGAAGTGTTGATGGGGAACTAACAAGTGTTGACGGGGAACTAAGAAGTGTTGACGGGGAACTAAGAAGTATTGACGGGGAACTAAGAAGTGTTGACGGGGAACTAACAAGTGTTGATAGGGAACTAAGAAGTGTTGATGGGGAACTAAGAAGTGTTGACGGGGAACTAAGAAGTGTTGACGGGGAACTAACAAGTGTTGACGGGGAACTAAGAAGTGTTGACGGGGAACTAACAAGTGTTGACGGGGAACTAAGAAATATTGACTGAGAACTAAGAAGTATTGACGGGGAACTAACAAGTGTTGACGGGGAACTAAGAAATATTGACTGAGAACTAAGAAGTATTGACGGGGAACTAAGAAGTATTGACGGGGAACTAAGAAGTATTGACGGGGAACTAAGAAGTTTTGACGGGGAACTAAGAAGTATTGACGGGGAACTAAGAAGTGTTCACGGGGAACTAAGAAGTTTTGACGGGAACTAAGAAGTATTGACGGGAACTAAGAAGTGTTCACGGGGAACTAAGAAGTATTGACGGGAACTAAGAAGTATTGACGGGGAACTAAGAAGTGTTGACGGGGAACTAAGAAGTATTGACGGGGAACTAAGAAGTATTGACGGGGAACTAAGAAGTGTTGACGGGGAACTAAGAAGTATTGACGGGGAACTAAGAAGTGTTGACGGGGAACTAAGAAGTATTGACGGGGAACTAAGAAGTATTGACGGGGAACTAAGAAGTATTGACGGGGAACTAAGAAGTATTGACGGGGAACTAACAAGTGTTGACGGGAAACTAACAAGTGTTGACGGGGAACTAACAATGTTGACGGGAACTAACAAGTGTTGACGGGAAACTAACAAGTGTTGACGGGGAACTAACAAGTGTTGACGGGGAACTAACAAGTGTTGACGGGGAACTAACAAGTGTTGACGGGGAACTAACAAGTGTTGACGGGGAACTAACAAGTGTTGACGGGGAACTAACAAGTGTTGACGGGGAACTAACAAGTGTTGACAGGGAACTAAGAAGTGTTGACGGGGAACTAACAAGTGTTGACGGGGAACTAACAAGTGTTGACGGGAAACTAACAAGTGTTGACGGGGAACTAACAAGTGTTGACGGGAAACTAACAAGTGTTGACGGGGAACTAACAAGTGTTGACGGGGAACTAACAAGTGTTGACGGGGAACTAACAAGTGTTGACGGGGAACTAACAAGTGTTGACGGGAAACTAACAAGTGTTGACGGGGAACTAACAAGTGTTGACGGGGAACTAACAAGTGTTGACGGGGAACTAAGAAATATTGACGGGGAACTAAGAAGTTTTGACGGGGAACTAAGAAATATTGAAGATAGTTTCGACGAATATTTCAATAATATATTTGTTTGATAATGTACAAAGTCACAATGGCACCGGCGGAAATACTATAATGTTGAATAGTAATAAGAACTACGACCTCCAGATACCTGAATTTTCTACTTTTAATTGGACGTAGACAGAAAAACACACCCCAGGGCTGTCACCATCATCAAGCACAGCTTCCGTATAATTAAAAAGGCTATTTACATCGTTTACCATTTACACCAGTTATCATTTATACCATTTATCATTTATACCATGGTATAAATGATCTTTAGTAGTAATAAGCAATGAAAAGAAGCAAGGAAATAAACAGAAAAAACACCAAGGAAAATCTATCCGGTTTATAAAAACACAAGCATGAACAGGCACACAACATATATAAATTCTATCGTACCACGTTAAATATTTGTCAAGAGAAGCACCAAGTTTAACAGCAACAGATCTCTCTCTTGTCTTGTATATACGTCATCTTTGTCGATTTCTCTTCCACTTCATAATCATCTACAGAATCCACGTTATTTCTCGTCATTCTCAGAGTCTAAAAGCGGGTAGCAGACTTTCTAACACCTTGTGTAAAGATGTCTTCTTTCTGGTTTCAGTCGTAATGGTAAACATCATGGAAAAAATTAAAACAATTTAAAAACACAAAAATAACATCCAGACATGTTTTCTCAGCCAACATCGATTTTTTTTTTTTTGGTCTCACTTTGCGATGATCTCGTGGTTTATTTTTCATATTTTAATTTATATTAAATTCATCAGATATATCGATATTACATCTTATTTATCTATGGAAGCTAAATAGGGGTATATGCATAAAGAAAACCATACAGATGGTGGCATCAACTGGTAAGTGACTATGTATATCGCATTTTCCGGCATATAAGGCGCAGTAACGTCAGCTACTGGTTACCACACTGTTTCTAAGAAGTTGTAACGCAACGTTAGTAAAAACACCGGTAAAGCGTAACCCGAAGCCTACCAATGACCCTGATCTTGAATTTATAAGGCGCAGGGAGATTTTCCAAGACTTTTTTGTGGGGAAAAAAAGCGCTTCTTATTTGCCGGAAAATACGATACATCACACATTTAAATAGGTGAGAGATGGCTGCATTTTCCTGATTCTTGTAGTCCAAGAATCGTAGGAGCAGAGCGCGGGGGGATGGAGATGCTAATAACAACAGTGACGGCTGTTAAACAGACTTACGTTCCCTGAAACGCTTCTAAACAAAATTTCGTTTATGCAGTGATAGGGTTTTTAACATTTAATTAAACATAATTCTGTGATTTTGAAGTTGATTTTTTAAATTATTGTGTCAGTGATATTTTCTCGCCTTGCTTTTTAAAAAAAAAATAATGCTTGTCAAACAAGATAAATCTACAGTCGAACTTAGTAACTGCATAATATATTTCATTTTGTATGTACACCGAGAGAAGTATATCTCAAAGTATGTGATGAATGGTTTGAAAAACCGACAAGTTGAAGATTGAGACACTTATGCAGCATATGGGAATCTTTATTCAGGAAACGTTTCGCCACACAGTGGCTTCATCAGTCCAATACAAAGAGGAAGGCGTAAGGAGAGGAGGAGTATCAGGTAATCAGTCCCTCAGGCTGGAGTCGATGTGTTCAGTCCATCAATCTTGTAGAATGTGAAGTGAAGCCACTGTGTGGCGAAACGTTTCCTGAATAAAGATTCCCATATGCTGCATAAGTGTCTCAATCTTCATCTCAAAGTATACACTGGGAGTTTACTTTCATCACTATTATAGGGTTTAAATTACTCTTGAATAAATTACATGCAGTCTTAATGAGCCTCGATAAACTTTAAACCGAATTAACCAACCAAAATAATCGTACAATATCTATAAATCACAATTTAAAAATCAGG